AATCTGGGATAAACCAAGAATCAGGGATAAACCATGCCAGGAAACCTGGGATAAACCAAGCCGGGGAATCTGGGATAAACCAGGAATCAGGGATAAACCTCGTCAAGGAATCGGGGATAAACCACACCAGGATCCAGGTTAAACACCCAAGAGGGCACAGAGGTGGCACTGAGGTGACAGCAGTGGCATCGAGGTGACAATGGTGTCATTAAACCGAGTCCTTAAGTGGGTGTTTAGGTCTAATCCCAACAAAAACACCGAATCTCAAATTTCACCTCAGTTTTTCCTTGTTTTCTTTTTTTTCCTTTTTTTTTTTTTTTTTTTTTTTTTTTTTTTTTTTTAATTTACTGCAACTCCAAGTGTGGAGGAGCCTGGTGAGCAGGAAACCTCCTCGGAGCACGCAAATGGGTTTAATTTCCTTGATCTGCTTATTTTCCTTTAATTCCAGCCTCATCTGGGTTTAATTTTCTTAATCTGCTTAGTTTCGGCAGGAAGTCCCATCAAAATGAGCAAAACTCACCTGTTTTCCATTGTACCTCATTTTTGGGTGGCAAATTTCTGTGGTATGGGAGTAAATCACTCAAATTTTATAATTTTTTGGGTTTTGACAGCCAAACTTGGTCTCTTTGGCAGAACTGGGTGACACATCCTCACCCCAAACCCCACAGAGGGATTTCCTTGTCTTGTCCAGCAGGTTTGGGCACCACTGATATTTCCAATATACAAAACGGATCCAAATCAATTAAAATTTATACACGACTGTTATCTCGCTATTATCAGTGTCCAAAATTCGGGTGTGAACCAGCTAAAAATATTCCATTTTCAGCTTCAATCCAACCCCTGAGCTCTCACAATTCCTTTGAAAACAATTCCAGGCCCCGCTCGTGTTTTCCTCGGCTGCTTTCTCCCCCCATCCAATAAATTTTGCTGGATCCCATGCCAGGGGTGTTGGGAATGGTTTTATTCCCACTGGATCCGGGCAGGAATCGCTTTCCCCACTCAGAGCCATTAGCTGGGGTGGGGGATGGAGGGAAGGAGAGAAAACCCCATTAAATCCCAGCTCTAACCCAATCCCAGCGCTGTCAGCCGAGCTTAAAGAGGGGAGAGAGCCGCCCTTGGCTCCCTCAGGCTCCAGAAATTCCACTTAAATTTGATGGATGCTCCACAAGGGGAATTTTATCTGATTATGGGGCCGAGATTGGGGCTCTGGAGGCTTTTAGGGTCGGGTGACACCCGTGGGGTGACAAGGAGGTGGCACTGGGAATTTTATCTGATTATGGGGCTGAGATTGGGGCTCTGGAGGGTTTTAGGGTGGGGTGACACCCATGGGGTGACACAGAGGTGGCATTGGGAATTTTATCTGATTACAGAGCTGAGATTGGGGCTCTGGAGGGTTTTAGGGTGGGGTGACACCCGTGGGGTGACACAGAGGTGGCACTGGGAATTTTATCTGATTATGGGGCTGAGATTGGGGCTCTGGAGGCTTTTAGGGTGGGGTGACACCCATGGGGTGACAAGGAGGTGGCATTGAGAATTTTATCTGATTATGGGGCTGAGATTGGGGCTCTGGAGGGTTTTAGGGTGGGGTGACACCCATGGGGTGACAGAGAGGTGTCACTGAGTTCCCTGCACTCAAAAATCCCCCAAAGCTGCCCCTGTTGAGCTGACACAGAAACACAGAGGAGCAAATCAGAGCTTCACCCTCCGCACAAGGAGAGCGAGATCCCAAAATCATGGATTGGCTTGGGTTGGGAAGGGCCTTAAATCTCATCCAGTTCCACCCGGGGACACTTCCACCATCCCAGGTGGCTCCAAGATGACCTTGGACACTTCCAGGGATGCAGCAGCATCCACATTTCTCCGTGCCAGCGATTCCAAACCCTCCAAGTGAGGAATTCCTTCCTGAATCCCATCTCGCCCTGCCCTCTTTTGGTAAAAAATATAAATTTTACAAATATCCTCCTGCTCCAGGGCATGCGAGGAATGTCCCTCCCTTGGGGACAGCCAGGAGCTTCCCTGGGACAGTCCCCAGGTCACCTCATCTGGGTTTTTGCTGCAGCATTTGGCCACCTCCACCTCTGCAGGAAAACCTCAGTGGCCATCGCTGTCCTGCGCTCCTGGAATTTGGGATTCCCTGATTCCAGTTTTGGGCTCTTCCGTGGCCCGTTGTGATGCCATTTTTGGGTTTGCCATGGCCTGTCACCA